CTGCTGTTTATGATTGAGTGATATTCGTAATCATATATGAAGAAAGTTTAACGCTTGTACTAGACAAGAGTAGAAACTGTCTGTGCTGATTGCATGTCCAAGTTGTCATCGCCGATTTCTTCTAACTTTACTTCAATTCGTTGTTTTCCAGAATCTGCTAATACCATTGGATCAAAAGACGTGATTTTAAACGGAACATAGGGTAAAATTAATACCTCCTTTTCTTCAGGATGCTGTGAAAATTGTTGAATATTCAAAGCCGTCCGACGATAATTAAAAATCTTTTTATATGTGCAAAGACATGAGATTTTATTTGTATTACCAGGATCATTGTAAATCTCTGCAATTGTAGGGTTTCTTGATGTCGAGAGAAACGTCGTCGATATAATAATGGAACTTTTTTCATAGCTCTTCAGTACGCCTTCACTTTTAATAACCGAACCTCGGTAAACCTCTAATTTATCTTTACAAACATACTGGTCTAATTTTGGATGAAATAGTAAGCTAACAAAAGCGTCAATTCCGTCCTGTGTACGTGCAAGGACATTGCAGTTCAGTGGCGTACAGTAGAGTGTCAGTTCATGATACGTATTCCTCGCCATATCATTGTTTATTTTCCTGCTCAGTGGTTGTGAACGTGTATAAGCTTGAACTACATGCTTTGGCTCATCATTTTTAGCAGCCATACTAAAATCTGCCAGAATGTTCTTCCAAGCTTCGGATGTACTAGGTTTGTCGAAGGTAGGTTTATCTTCGGACATATCAATATCATCCAAGTAACCTTTTTTCATTGCGTAAATTAAATCTTTTATAGTACTGTTCACCCATTTCTTCGCCTAGTTTGTAGAGCATACTGTCAAAAATTTCACGATTTCCGTTCTCCAGGGCCTGTTAGTTTTCGAGAAAAAGTTTCAAGTGAAAAGTCGGATTTCTGCTCAAATTGTGAAACTTTGATGGAACGTCTATTTTTGGGATGAAATACCCAGGTTTGGTCTCAGTCGATAGAGCTTGTCGCGGTAAAAAACTCAAAAGCATCTGCGATATGGCACTTGCACATCAAACTACCTTTCCCACATAAATGAATAAGCTGAATAGGTACAGCGACATTACCGCGAAGACTCGTTTATTGGAAAAGAAGAATAAATGAGCCTGGTTATGTATTTTATATATCATGACTCGTTTACAGCTCTCAGTGGGACTACTTATAACTTTTGATGTAGAGCATGAATTTCTTTCAAGATTTAGCTTCATATATTACTATTGTAGCAGTCCAAAGTTATGATGAGAAATTAAAAAAAAGTTGCTCTGTCTTTTTTATTTAGACCAACTTATAAGACACATTCCTTCTAATTTTAATGCTGTTTGTAGTTTGCTATAAAGCGCGAAATATTATGCGCAGAAAAAGTGGATTCACAGGTAATCAACTATAATGCGCTAATATTAGTTTTGCTGGATAATTGATAATCGTGCTTGGCCAAAGCCTCAAGTTTCTTGGCTCGTTCGTGTTCGACTCGTTTCCGATCGATATCCTTGCGATCCACTTCAGCTTGAAGAACAAGAACGAGGAGAGACACCGGGTTCTTTGGTTGCTTGCCAATGAAGTGTGCTTGTGTTTCATGCCACATTCCACCCTTTAGCCGTTCGATTTGTTTTGCGTCGGACATGTCTTCGTCGTACAGTTTGATGAGCTTCATCTTCTCCTCGTAGTAGAGGATGAAACTCTCTGTTTCGCCCTATTTGCGCTCTGCCATATGTTGAGCAGAATTGGCCACTCGTGGATGAAACCGTTTGAGGAACGCCTCTCGAAGAGTAGACCAATCGAGGTCGAGGGCTTGCCACAGGTACCAACGGTCGGCTGTATCGTTGAGATGTGGCAGGATTTCGTTGGGATTTTTTTCGAGGTCGATGTTGGCGAGTTTGCACATTCGTTCCAGAAGGAGAAGCCATT